CACACACACACACACACACACACACACACACATATATATATATATATATATATATGTATATATATATATATACATATATGCAGTCATAAATCACTAAGGATGGGAACATATTCTAAGAAATATATATATATGTATGTGTATATGTATATTTATACACACACACCCCTTGATTGTGTGACCTACTCATCCCTAAGCTATGTGACATAACCTATGTTTTTTTTTTAATTTCTTGTCTTTTTTCTTCCTTTTTTTTTTTTTTTTTTTCTCTCTTTTGACACAATGTCTCACTCTGTAGTCCAGGCTGGCCTCAAACTTACAGCAATTTCCCCCTGTTTAGGTCTCGCTAGTTCTGGGATTAAAGGCATATGCCACAATTTTAAATAACATTATATTGTTATTTAAGTTTTCACCATCATAACCCCAGCACTGGGGAGGAGATGAGGCAAAAGTCCCTATATAGTCTGGGGTTTAAAGTGAGACCGTGTCCCAAACAAACAACAAGACAACACCAAATTTTGATTTCCTTCTTTACATAGAAGAACTGTACTCTGAAATAATAATAGCAAATACAGAATGGCAGGGTGTAGTGGCACACATCCCACTGGGGAGGCAGAGGCAGGAGTTCGAGGCCAGCCTGGCCTACAAGAGTGAGTTCCAGGACAGCCAGAGCTATATAGAGGAAACCCTGTCTCCAAAACCCAACCCAAAAAACAAAAAGAAAGAATTGTAAATACTTAAGCTGGTAACATGTGATCACGTGGTCATTGATTATAAAGTGATATACCGTACATAATTGTGTGCTGTGCCTTTTTAAGGCCCACAGCTCTGTAGGCTGGTTTACACCCACATCACAGCAAACATTTCAGTGTTGCATTATGCTGCAACTGCTATGGATGTAGTATTGGTAGGCAATGGGAAGTGCTTTTGATTTTGTTGTAGTCAGCCTGGCCTACAGAGCTAGTTCTAGGACAGCCAGGACTACGCAGAGAAACCCTGTCCCGGGAAAACAAAACAAAACAAAACAAAAAAATAAGGAAGAAAAAAATCCATATTTCTATTGTACTTCATGTTTTGCCTACATGGATGTCTGTACCACATGCATGCAGTGCCCAAGGAGGCCAAAAGAGGGTAACAGATTCCCTGGAACTGGAGTTACAGATGGTTGTGAGCTGCAGTGTTGGATTGTGGGAGCCCAACCTGGGTCAGCTGGAAGAGAAGCCAGTGCTTTTGACCACTGAGCCATTGCCTAAGCCCTCCCTCTGTGGTAGTCCTGCTGAGAGTGACGGTCACAAGCAAAGAGAATGAGTTCACGTTTTAATACGTGTGCTCAGCCCTGGGTCTCCTCCACTCTTAGAATGGGCCACCCAAGCCCAGCAGAGCAGTGCACACCCTGAATCCCATTTCTTGGGAGTCGCTGACAGGAGGATCTCTGTGAGTTCGAGGCCAGCCTGGTCTACTTAGTGAGTTCCAGGATGATAAGAAAACAGAATGAGCCGCCCACAGTGGGCTGGGTGTTTCCACATAATTAAGTGATTTACAGTCCGAGGCAGTCAGGCCCACAGGTCAACCAATGTAGACAATCCCTCATGTGATATATGACTGTACATATTGCCTACTGGTTCTGGATTTGGGGAGACCCTCCAATGATATAATAAAAATTGATATCATTTAATTCTACTATAAAAATTAGCATCTCTGTTTTCAGTTGAAAATGACTTGAGGGCCGGAGAGATGGCTTGGCGGTTCAGAGCACTGGCTGCCTCTGTAGAGGCCTGGTTTGGTTGGTTCCCAGCACCCTCACGGCACTCGAGACATCTGCAACTCTAGCTCCAGGGGATCCAGTGCCTTTTTTGGCCTCACAAATGGTCAGGCAATATAGTGCACATGCAAACACACTTCCCACCCCACCCCACACGTGTGTGTGTGTGTGTGTGTGTGTGTGTGTGTGTGTGTGTGTGTGTGCGTGCAAAATACTCTTACACATAAAACAAAAATAAATGTAAAGAAAGAAAGAAAAAGAAGAATGACTTATTGCCTATAACCTTCACACTTGAGAGGCTGAAGTGGGAGGGATCTTTCCATGTTGGTGGCTAGCCTGAACTACATAGTAAATATCAGGCCGGTCAAGGAGACCCCACCTCAAATAAATAAGGAAAGAAAGAAAGCAAGAAAGAAAGCTGGGCAGTGGTGGCACATGCCTTTAATCCCAGCACTCAGGAGGCAGAGCCAGGAGGATCTCTGAGTTCAAGGCCAGCCTGGTCTACAGAAGGACATCCAGGACAGGCTCCAAAGCTACACAGAGAAACACTGTCTCGAAAAACCAAAAAAAAAAAAAAAGGAAGGAAGGAAGAGATATGATGTTGGAACTGAAGGTAGTTCAGTGCCAAGGCCTTGGGTTCAGTCCCCAAGATAAAACAGGGGTGCTGGCTCACACCTTTAATCCCAGCACTCGGGAGGCAGAGGCAGGTGGATCTCCAAGTTTGAGGCCAGCCTGGGCTACAGAGCGAGGTCCAGGGCAGGCTCCAAAGCGACACAGAGCTCTATGTCATATTATGTGCATGGTCAGGAGCAAAGGAAGTGAATTCATGCTTTCCTGTTTGTGCTCAGCTCAGTCTCTCCACTCAGAACAGCACCACCCACAGGGTCTGCCCACATCATTAGGTTAGTTACAATCTCCCATAGACACACCCACAGGCCTTAGACGGTCCTTGCCTTTTCCCATCTTCCTGGGTGATTCTAGGTTGTCAAGTTGGTAGTCATAAGACACCATCACACAAGGCAAGCACTCTAGTATGATCTATACCCCAGCCCCCAGTTACAAAAGCTTAAAAAAAAAAAAGATTTATTTATTTTTATGTGTGTAGGTGTCTTGCTTATGTGCATGTCTGTGTGCCGTGTGCTTCCCTGGAGCCCACAATGGCCAGAAGAGCTGGGCCCCATGGAACTGGTGTTATAGATGTTTGAGCCACGTGGGTGTTGGGAACTAAACCTGGGTCCTCTGCAAGAGTGGTCTTCACTCCTGACCCATCTCCGTGGCTCCCAAGAGCTCGTTTTTGTTTTTTGGTTTTTTTTTTAATGTATAGCATAAAATCTTTACATTAAGTTCTATATATTTACTTTTATCTGTGAACTAAGGAAAGAACTTTTCCTTTCAGTTTGGGCCACCACCGTCTCAGTCCGGTAGAGCAGGGACGCAGTTTGAGAGCCAGCGACCTACTGTCCTATGTCACGCAGGGACGGTCCTGTCCTCATTTACAGAGCACCTACTCTTGTCAAGGAATAGTAGCATGGTGCCTGCCTTTGGGGGCTTGTAGCCTCTGTAGGAGTAATGATTGCAATACTCTGTGATAGGGACAGGGATTGTGTATACAGTTACATCATCTCACATTCGTGCCTCCATTAGAATGTGTAAAATACATGGGTGTAGAGATCAGCAAGATGGTTCAGGAGGTACTGGTCCTTGACATCAAGCCTGACAACCTGAGTTCAATCCCCAGAACATCCACATGGTAGACTCCCGAAGGTTGTATGCATGTACACACGTACGTACGTACATACACACACACACACACACACACACACACACACACACACACACACACACTACAAAATATAAG